ATTTAGGGGTTTCCAAGGCTTATTTAATCGACTTTAGACTAATAATAATATGTAAAAAATACATATCTTCCCGACAGGGAGGGGAGGGGCGCCTCTCCTGCCTGGCTGGCCCAGAATGCTACTGACTGCAGCTTGGTTGGCTGTTGTTGGATAAGGTTGGTCACTAACACGATCCCGGCGATAGGCCCTAGCCTAAAAAAGAAGAAGTAGGACTCCTAGGCCTAGGTCTACCCTACTACTAGACCTAGGCTAGGCCCCCAGGCCTACTACTATAGGCCTAGAGGAGGCAAGTCTGTCTAGGCCTAGGCCCTAGGGCCTTCCTATCTATAGCCTAGGCTAGGCTATAGGCTATAGGAAGGCCCTATCTATAGGGAGGCCTAGAAAAAAATATATTCGATGCTTTAGTCTGCAAATATATAGAACACAGCATCAATCAGCTGACGTACTTACCTTAAAATATGCTTCTAAATTATTCAGGCTATTACAAAAATAAAAAACATACTGTAGGCCTAGGCCCAGTCCCCTAATATACAGTACAATTTACAATTCTTTTCGACACGTATCGTCACCGCCAAACTTTATGCAAATGATAGAGGGCGACACACATTATGAGTTGTCGATAACTTAATGAAAAATAAGTGTAAGTGACTACCAAGACGAGATCTAAATGCACGAAAACGACGATCGAACAGAAATCTTATAATGACCATCATGATTACTCAGTATTGGCCTGCTAATTAAATTGTTTAAAATCTTGAGGTCATTTATTCATTATACTTCATTATTTTTAGCTATACAGTATTATCATATTGCATTATAGTATAAATGATGATGACAATAGTGATGATAATGATAATAATAATAATAATAATAATAATGATGATGATATTAATAATAATAATGATAATGATAATAATAATAATGGCTGTGATAGTAATAACAATAATATAATATAATCTCAAAGCAATATTTCGGTCTACTGTGAATTCATTCCTTTTTAAATGTCTTTTACCTTATCATGAATTGTATATTTTTATATTTCTCGATTGTTTTTATTGTATTTTTACATTGCTGTTGTGTTTGAAATAAAATAATGAATGAATGAAAAATTTGCCTTATTTAATATATATATATATCCCTTATATTAAATATTTTAATTATTAATTCATAATTATTATTTTTTTAAATATATTTTTTGGATCACTATGTCTCAGTACCACTAGTACACCTTTCCAACCTTCAGATGAGCCTCTACACTAACATCAGTGATTATTTTTTTATACCAATCAGGTATCAATACTTACCAGAATTTATCAAGTCAGAGTTTTTTACGTCTTCACTAAACCTTCGGTTGGAGCGAAAGCTCGTGAATAAATATTATTTTTAGTGATAAATGCCATACAAAGTCATTTCTTTCATTGAACTACAGTTTAGTTTTACATTTATAGTTTTACATTTATGCGTTGTTCGTTCTTTTTTAATTTTAATTTTAAATTTAATTAAATTTTTTTTTTTTTGAGACAACTCTAATATATATTAGTATTTTAGCAGATTTTGTTAAATGAAAAGCAACCCTGTACCAAATGTGTTTGCATATTTCATTAAAATTAGATTGGAATTGCTGCAAATGGAAAAGCTAATGGCAAATAATAAATCTCAGCATAGAAAACTATTTACTTACCTGAAAATACTAGATAAGAAGATGGTACCTCATTTGTCGATTGTGTGATCAAAATAAATTCGTATGTAGCGCCACCTAGAGTTGAGAAGAATTTGTTTTCTATTTTGTGGTCTATCACATTTATCATAATCATAATACCTAATTTATTACATAATATATTTTTCATTTATTTCATTTCATAAAATTACATATTTTTTCTTATTTCTATAGTACAACTCAGTTGAATAAATTATGGATTGTATTTTCTAATAAAATTATAAATAATTCCGTCTATTTTTCTTGTAGACAAATCATTGTTGAAGACGTGCAATTGAATAATATGTTTTCCATATTTATAGGGGCATATTTAATAGTTTGCGATTAAAATAAATTATTCTATTAACAGATATGAAGCAAGGATCATCATTATTTTATTCCTAAGATGATGTCACAGGTTGATAAGTTAATTAATAATAGCAAATATAATTTCTGAAAATTGACGCCAGCCTGGCGTCAAATCTAACTTTAGTACATGAAAATAGAAAATATTTAATATTATCAATTTCGCCTCCATTTCAGAAGTTGCTGTTTCTATGTTATAAAATTCCTATTTTCATAAACAATATTCTAATTGGATAACAGTTTTGTAATATTATTCAATCTTCGTACAAATCTCGCTAATATCCAAGCGCAGGTTACTAGGCGCTCACGCGTAAAACTGTTCCCATGCTACAGCTAGAACGCGCTATTTTCCTTGGTAACGGCTCACAGTTTTGTACGTACTGTAACTACATGATGTAGGCCTATTCGGTTAATTTCTCTTGGTCCTACTTTCACAATGCTTACACTTACAATATCGCTCCTAAGGGCACCATCTAGGCTGTCCGCCAACATTAAAGCAGTGACATATAGGCCTATACGACATGCACAGAAAACCCGCCAACACAACCCGATTTACAACTCGGAAAACCGACCAGTGATATATTATAAGAAAAGTGAGAAAAAGAGCAGTGTATGTAAATGGACTGCAGGGAGGCAGTATACATTTAAACATGATGTGCATACGAGCTGTTATACACTATGCCAGAAGAAAGATTCAGAAAAGTCAATTGTAGTGAATCCAAGTCACGTCCAATGGCAAGTAAGTATGACGAATAGGTGTATGCCTAGGCTACTAACATACAAAAAAAAAAAACCAGAACAATAATAAATGTAGACATTTATTATCAATATTAATTATATTCTTTTCATTTCCTTCATCTTCATAGTCTTTGTCATCGTCATCGTAACCATCAATATTGTCGCCATCGTCATCATCATCCTCATCATTAATTATTATTATTATCATCGTCATCATCATCATATTTTATTTTTATTAACAAAGCCATAAACAAATCACCATAACTATCAACAACACCATAGCCATAATCACTCCATCACTGTTCCAATCACTATCACCATCGTAATTCTAGTGAGCCTAGTTGGTTAACCTAAGCAAGTATTAGCATTTACAAAAAAACAAAAACAAAAAAACAAAAACAAAAATTAAAAAATATTTGCCTATTTAAAGTAGTGATATTGTTTTTCCAACTTAAGATTGCTATTTGAAATAAGGCATAACATGGATATTTATATATATATATATATATAGGCCTATATACATATATAATATATACATACATATATACATATATCGTCATAATTCCACGTGTGTTCTTGAAATTATATAAAAGGAGTTGAAACAAGGAATTGAAGCAACGAGTCATATGGACTATAAAACACTGGTTTATTTCAAAAGAAATTTTCGACCAGTCCTCTGGTCTTCTTCAGCTTACAAAACTAAAACCACCAAGTTTAGTTTTGTAAGCTGAAGAAGACCAGATTCTATTCTAGTACATCTAATTCTACTATCTAGTACATCCCCCTTCAGACGTTGTCGCACTTGGTCACTCACTATTTCAGATACAGCAAGCCCAAGAGAGTAAAAATAATCTAATCTAATATCTAATATCTCGAATTTATATGGCGCCAATTCCAAACAAGATAAAAAAATACAAATGCCATCCCCCATCCCCCAACCTCACTAACAATAACCCCAGGTCATTTAGTTAATTTGCGATATAACTTAAGCCTTCTTTCCACTAGGCGAATTTATTCGCGCGAATCAAGTCTTCGGTACCGGTACGCTTTCTGAGCTCTGATTGGTTACGCATTTTTTCGTTTCGCAAAAACCCGATAGAAACGTGAATGCGCGTGCGAATGAACCGATGCTTTTGATTCGCGCGAATAAATTCGCATAGTGGAAAACCGGATTTAGACTTAGGTTTCAAATAACTGTAATAAGATTTTCTTTGTACACAGGTTTTTGCAGATCCAACTTTATCACAAACAGTACGACAGAACTGCGTGGAAGTTGAACGACTTAAATCGAGGACAGAGTCACTAATTCAGGATATAAACGACTGGGGCTTTGAGTTAGCCAAACTGAACGACTCAATTGACACGCTTAAGAAAATCTCGAACGACTTCTCGTCTATTACCAGTAATAATAAATCCGATATTGACTATTTCCAAGAGGAACTTTCAAAAATTATTTTGAACGCAAATTATGCTAATGAAATTGCTATTGCGCATGATAAGGAAATTGATGACGTTAAATTAAAAATTGAAGATACGTTTTATTTGGTTAAGTCAATTAGAAAGGAGGTAGACGATGTTCGAAATCAAGTCGCGAGTTTGTCTAATTATGTTGATCGTGAACTTAAGGAAGAAATTCGGGCAATGCTTGAAGATATACGGAGGGAATTCTCAGAGATGAAATCAACATCGGATAAAGAATTAAATCACTTTCAGTCCCAAATTGACGAGCTTCGGACACTAGTAAATTCAAAGTAAACGATTTCCAGTTAAACCACTGGTCTCTATTCTATTAAAACTATTGTGAAATTCATAGTTTACGATGTTAGTTATATGTATATTTTAAAATAATACTTAAGACAATTAGTATGCCAACATGGAATTTGTTTAAAATGCAAAGCAAATTATGGCGCTTTAAATGTATTAAAATTGATTACAATCAATAATAATAATAATAATAATAATAATAATAATAATAATCGCCATCATCATCATCATCACCATTCATCGTCATAACCATCGGCATCTACACCATCGTCATCGTAGTCATCAATATCATAATCATCAACTTTTCTGTCGATTTTATTGTTTGATGTTATCGTCTGGTGCATATAGCTATGGTACCATTATCCATATTATCGTTGGTAAACATTATTAGTCCAAAGTCTAACCGCATGCATTTTTCACCATGCTTGTTTATACAGTCCACCATGATCACTTCTACATTCAGCAACCATATTATAACTTTTACACAGAGAGAAACTAGATTACATCAAATTTCATTTATGTTAACGTAGGTATACAGTCTACTTGTATTTAAAAAAAAATATAGTCTCATTATCACCCAAAAGCGAGTGATAATAATAGGCATACACCTTGGTAAAGCTACCACTTGAGCTAAGTAGGTCGCTACATTGCTACCAATAGGACTATGTATATGATCGTTACAGTATTAATCATAGACCTATTAATAAGAGGTATTCATATTGGTACATTGCTATTAATATTATGTAGGCCTACCGGTTCTGTACTTTAAAAAAAATGTTACGGTGCAGTAAACATAGTCTATACAGTCGGCCTATTCTCGGGGCCCAATTGTAATGCCGTGTTTTATATGATTGAAGATCCTTATTTGACGATATGGCTGTATTGAGTACTTGAACACGTGAAAAATAAATTCACTTTTGATCTTCCCAAATAAGTATATGGATTTTAAATTGTTATTAAATAAGGACTGCTACAGCTATATGAGAATCGGAACAGAAGGATTATTAAAAAGAAGACAAAATTTAGACGAACGCCAAATCCCAGAGTCAACATGTTTGTTTTTGATATACTTTTACAGGAACAATGATTCTATCAAGACGGTCACGAAAATTTCTTCGCCGAACATGTCTAAGTCTTCTACTTATTATTCCAATAATTCTCTTCATTACCAACCTGCTGCTATCTGCTGGGGTATTAAGTATGTTCAATGACAAATCTCCACAGAGATCATTACGAAAGAGCGGTTATAAGCGCAATTTCCGCATTGATAATACAGTTGTTCCGAATATTGCGCACTATGTTTGGATGAGGGCGGCAGAATTTGAATTTCACCACTACCTCAGTGTTCTAAGTATCCAGGAGTACCTTTCTCCACGACGTATCTACTTTCATCTTTACACAGACAGACCGTTTTTCCGTGGACGGTACTGGGAAAGTGTTCGTAAACTTCCAAATATCCGTATCATTTTTGAAAAGTCGGACGTCAAACCATATGGTATTTCTGTTACAAAACTACATCATAGGTCAATTGTTGCTAGGCTGCACGCTCTCCAGAGAGATGGCGGAGTTTATCTTGATGCAGATGTAATATTTTTGAAATCTGTAGAACCTCTTCTACATTATCAAACTACGCTCGGTAAGGAATTCTACGGCCTTAGTCCTGGAATTATTTTTACAGAAAAAAATTCAACTTTTGTTCAAAACTGGCTGAAAACATTTAAAGATTATGATCCTGAAACATACGACGAATCATCAAAGTTTCTTGAGCTAGCCATAAAATACCAAGACCACTTACATGTCGAGCAAGATAATTTTCGTCGCAATGATCTCCACGATTTGGCAGACGATAAATGCGAGAATATCTACCATGGGTACTGTGACCATAAGTTTAACTATGCCATCAAACTATATTACAACTTCTACAGCAGAAATATCTCAAATTTTAGCTTAGATGACATGCAGACAACATTTGGAGATATGGCGCGAAAAATAATGAATACAGAGATTACGCACAATTATAACTAGCATAAAAAGAACAGAAAATGGTTGGATGGAAGAATGAATAAAAAATGTGGAAGTGGAACACTACGGTTACACTAGAAAGCAGGACGTCGCACATTGGCTGCAGTGACTTAGGTCGAATGGCAATGTGTGGTGCAGCGTGTAAGGCGTTGTCTTTCAATCGGGAGGTCAGGGTTTGGGACCAATGCTCGTCACAATTCTTTTGTCCTTGAGCAAGGCACTTTATTTGATTTACCTCTTTCCAATGGCTACCGTAACCTGGTAGGAGATGAATGGCTCGGAATCAAATCGGTAGGGCTGTTTTCTGGAAGTGTTTGCTATATAAATCCTATTAAATAATAATAACTTAAACATCGTGTAGCAAACGACGCAATGGTGTTGGTTACTCAGCAATAGTCTGTTCAAGAGGATTTACTTCGTTCTGCGGTAGTCATAGTAATGTTTATTTATGTTTTAGTTTTATGAAATCTCCACGCATAGCACCATGTACAAGTTAACAACCATTAACATTATCAATAAACGCAGGTACATCAGTAAATTACTAAATCTTAGATTATAACCTCATTAAAATCAGACAACAGAGTATTTTCATGTTATTTATTTATTTCAAAGGAAACATAATAAATAAATGCTGATTTGCTTCTTTGTATTTGAATTGTAGCAAATAACTCAAGTCCTTTTGAAAGTACGTATGTTTAAAGCATTACATTAGAAGTTAGTACAAATGTTAAATTATAACTTAATGTCTCTGCTTGCATTGTGCAACAACGTCCACATTAATTTAAAATCTCTATCGCGCAAGTCCATTCTTGTTCTTATGATGATGACGAAGCAGCTCTATCGCGTAAGTCCATGCTTGTTCTTACAATGATGACGACGCACCTGGGATATGGAACTCAGGAACATCGAAGACCAGGCTTCTTTTCGTAGGATTGATCTCCCTTTGAGCTGTAATAATTTAGTTAAAGGAATAGTTGTAGTTGAGATGAGTTCAAATCCTACCAGAAACACCATTTTTCCAAACATTTAAAAACATCAAATGACATTTTATAATGCATCAAGTTGTGAGTCACTCATTGTTGAAAGAGTTCTAAGATATTTAAAAAATGAACAAAAACCAGTATTAACAGAATTATGACACTGCATAAAGAGAATCAATTACAATAGTTCAAAAATAAAGTACTTTAGACTGAAATACACAACAAATGGTGATATTAATGTTGTTGGCGATATGAATAAAGTCTGCATGATGTAGACCTGATTTTTTTATCAAGTTTACACCATGCAGACTTGATTCTTCTCATCAATGACATTAGTATCACCATTGATTTTAATGTTGTTGATGATAAGAATCAAGCCTTCATGCTGTGGATACCTTGTTATGGTATATTGGGATGGATTGTTCTACTATTGTTTAAGGGGAGTCCCTCTTGAAAAAAGCATTTGCACATTCTCGATTTATTTCATTATGTAATCCCTCTTGAAAAAAGTATTTGCATATTCTCGATATACTTCAGTATGTAATCCATAATAGACTAAATACACAATTTCACTGGATTTTATATTCTCCATTTTTTTTTTATTAATTTGAAATATCTGTTGGTGGGGGGGGGGGGGGAGAGCTGGGCCCGCAACAGCTTGAATCCGCCACTGTGAATACATATTACATATGCAAGTAAAGGATATTTGTGTAGTAATTTGAAGTTGCCTGTGCCAATCGTCATCGGTATTCCCATTATGATACATTCACTAACGCCTACAAAATACAAACGAAATGAACAACATATTAAAAAAAGTAGCTATTGAAGAAACAAAGAAAATAGCCATTATCACCATTGCTGACAAGAAACAAAGAATCAATTAAGCATATCCAAAATGACAAGTAAAACTAAAAATATGATTACAGTATTAAACTAGACTCGAAATATTAGATAAAAAGTACTGTAGTCTTCTTAGTCAAGGAAAGATTTGTCTCACCACAAATGACATCCTTTTGTCCATGATATGCAGCATCAAATAGATGATCAGCAGTTTTCTCAAACTATAAGAAGGAAGAGGGATCATAATAATTACTCAAGAAATTATGAAAATCTACTGCACTATACACTATGAAGAATGGAGAGTGGAGTTGAATAGCTTGGTGGTTAAGATGCTTGCCTTCCAATCCCAGGGTCCTGGGTTCAATTCCTGCCAGTTGCAGGATTTTTTCTCACGACCAAAACAACTCCACTCCCTAAATCTCATATGGAGATTTAGTTTGCGTAAAGCATCGTGTGTGTATGTTTGTCTTGTGTAAGGGATTGTCACCTACAAGTAGGATAGTGATATATTCGCTGTTGACAATCCTTGGCACATGTATTGTGTGCCTAAATAAATAAATAAAAAAATAATAAAAATAACTATGAAATAATATAACACAGGAGGTGAAAATCCCTGTAACACCGCTATCTGAAAACGATTAGCACCCACTGTACTTGTGTATATACATTGTACCCTTCTATACATAATAATCAGTTATTTACCACTATGCGACCTAGCATTGATCATCTCCTATTCCCTAGGGTGAATTACTACCGGTGCAACTAACGTAGAACCTGACTGATTTCCTTCCAAATCAACGAGATCAGATACCCCTTTACACACACGAGTGGAAAGGGCAAAGACTGACACAAGCTCAGCACCTTTCCTACTAAAAGTATCACTGATTAATCTACAGTAAAACCTTCTAAAATTCTCACTGTTAAAACTGATTGTAAGATCACTGATCAGACTGAGCAATTTTGGCAGAAATCATCCTGTTTTGAATCCCATGAATATGTACATTTAACTGTGCCGTAGACCAGGGCATCTGTCCACACACAAGCATAAAAGTGTCCACCTGGTATGTTTAAAGTGCAGGGTACAAATTACTCTTTACAACATTTTGGAATACTAGCCAATGGAAACAGCAAGTCATTCAGTGTAATAACATTAATATGAAAAAATTGTTATTATACACTACAAAGCGGAAAAAATGTAGTGTGGGTGGGTGGGGGTAGCCAGCCCATACTTTTGGAAAGTAAAAAAAAAAAGAAGAAAATAAGAAAGAAAAACACCTCAGGTTATTTTCGGGCGTCTAGAAAACAAAAATTTCACACAGGCGTGCCACAGATCCCCTTGGGTAGTGTTGTCTCTTATCGGCCCACTTTCACCCCCTCCCTTTACGGAAATCTCTGGATCCACCCCTGCATAGGTTGTATAAAATAAATGATATTTATTTTATTACTTACTGAAGCCAACATGAGTACACTTTCTTTCATCTTTGCCAACCCAAACCTGGTGATGCCAAGCACTTCACCCTGTAATTCAAAATTATTTGAAATATTAACTCTACACAAATATATATTTGGGTTTGTTAAAACAAATTTCATCTGGTTTCATTTAGCAAATAGGGTAAATATTTTTCTTTCATTTTCAAAATGCACTGAACAACATGTATGTAGCATTGAAAAGAAAGCATTCTTTACTTTGGTTTACAAAATTTATTCAAAATTATAAACCATTTTGAGGTCAGCAGATTGTTTACATATTTTATACCTGTATGTTAGTGGCGATGCTTTGCTGATGGCAAGTATGAAAAAAAACAACTGCCCATTCATGAGAATACTCCTTTAACATAATGGAACAGTCACCCACGATGTACAGTGCTTTATTGCAGACTGCCAGGGGCAGACTGTTCAATTATATATTAAGGGATATTCTCAGTTATTATCATATTCATAAATAATAATATAAAAGTTGAAAAATAGATATCAAAGGCAGTTTTTGCATTTTGTAAAACTCCTCAGATACACTACTTACTCTGTAGGTCATCAGATCAGCTAACAACATGACATGTCGACAGTCTATACTCATTCCATGGCTGACCATTGTGTACTGAACCTCATCCATAATACACCTTCTATTAAGTTATGCAGAATATAGAAAAAACATTTAAAAAAAGTAGCACTGTACTGTAATTCCTATGTACAAAAAATGGCATTAGATATTTAAAACTTCAGATCCCTATTCAATTTATTAATGAAACTCTAGGGCACTTTTTTATTACAACCTCAACTAACACCACAATATATTGCTACCTGGGCCACTGGTTAATTTGGCACTGCATCACTTATCAATCAGGAACAATGGGTAGTCAGACATTGTTAATTTGAGTGTAAACAACACTTTCCATATTATTATTATTATAAAGTGCCACACTTTGCTTTTGAATTGTGTCTAAAGCAAGCAGAGATTACCAATAGGGAGCTAACAATTGCACAACATAAAGGGATGAACGTAATGACGTCACTAAAACATCACCTGCACATGCGAGAATGTTAAGTTCTTGTCGTCGCATGGATTCTATGATGTAATTTGACCAGATCTATGTTGTGCAGAGAACGTAGGATGGCCATGTATGAGTAAATCCATTCTAGCGTTGTGCAAACCGAAAACTCCCTACTGCCTGTTACAGGGTGCCATGTATTACCATGAAATTTTCAAGGGTGTGATGAAACGGCACAATGACGACAGCGATGACAACAACAATAACAATAACAATGTAATTATTAATAATGATAATAATAATATGCATTCTACCTTGCAGCTTCAATCCCTAATGTTTTCTCTACCTCGTAAGTATTGTTGGAAAAACATTTGGTTCCATAAACGCCTTTGGTTCCTATCACGGCTCGGAGGTTATCGCCCTCAACGAGAAGTTTGTATTCTTGTTTACGACCAGCCTTTTCATCAATGTGAATTACTGCTCTTGATACTTCTGGAATACCCTAAAAACAAATAAAATAAAATCATAATAAGTTCATGGTTAATAGAAAATAATGAAAAAAAAATGCATTTTATTTGCCCCATGTTGTTTTCGGTTATTGATAATATTATATATGGCAAAGACAAGCCAAACAAGTCACTTGTCGCAAAATTCGATTTTGAGGTATTAATAAAAGAGTAAAATGAGAGCTATAAAATGGTAAAAAAATAATTCAAATCCGACAATTCCTTATGAAGTTATAAGCATTTAAACATACAACTGTTTATAACCAATATAGAGAAATCAGCCTTCAAAGTTTATAGTCCGGGAGCCAGGGGCCATATATTTGCATAAAATGACCACATGTTTAGTTGGTATTTTTGGAAAGGTCATCCTGTGGGGGTTTAGGAACTGCCTGTCTGACGAGACATTTCTGCTGGAATAAGGGTTCAGAGGTCAATAATGGTCATTTCTAGTCAATTTTACTATGAAATAATAATCAGGAAATATAAAACATGTATAATATACCAAATACAATTATGTTGCACATCATATGAAAGCTTATGTAATTGTCTATCCAGTGATACCAAACTTGTTTTTGTATCATCTTCTTTTAAGTACGTTTTTGGGGTAAAATCACACAATTTTGTCATTTTTTGTCAAAATTTGATATTTTTTGTTTTCCTTTTATTTTGGAAAAAATATACTAAATGAACAGATAATTCAACCATTCTTTTTCAGAATTCGACCAATTATATGATTGTGACATTGAAACAAAAATGGAAGACTGAAACCAAATACTTGCTGAGTATACTTAATATTAAGTTCACTTGAAAATAACAAAAATATCAAAATATTAGCAAAACCAAGCTATACTGAGAGCAGCTTAGCTCAGTTGGCAGGTGGTAGCCACGGTGTGCATGCTAAACTGTGGAAATCCCTTGGTTCCCTGTCCAATATCATCTGTAGGGCTGAAATACAAATTATGATAGCACATATACGGCATTTAATGTTAATGAACGCAGTGCACTGCAGAGATTCCTCGGCTAATTTACAAGAATGAGTCTTTCGAAAATTCTGCCCCCCCTTGGGGTATGGGGCTTGATCCCTTTAAGCGTCATCCTTAAATAGAGACCGCAAATGCTTGGGAATCTCATGCAGTTTCACTTATGCATGAGACTTGGTAGGTCTGACACACCAAAAACACTTCCTCCTCCTCCTCTTTATTTCCTTTCAATGATTCTCACCTGTATAACCACCTTAGGGAGTGTCTGTTTGAGTGACTGTAGTGTATAATACATTGAACTCTTGGCTGATTCCTGAGGTTCCACTGTTATCAGACGTTCATTCAAGATTTCAATATGCTGCAAGTTGGTTTAAAAATACATAAAAAGAAATTTATTAACAATGTCCAAATTCATATTTATTATTACTGTTTCAAACAAATTACATTTGTCTTGATTATACCTATATGAAAAATAAAGTAAAGAGTTGCGAATTCTACTTCACAACAATAATAGAAATATTCCAGCCCAGACTATCAAATTTTATTAGACAAAAACATGTGACATGCCTAAATATGGTCATGACATCACATCATGACCATATATAGGCACATCATGACTATATATGGGCACACAACAGTTTTTTTTTTATTTAAAGAAAATTTGATAGTCTGGACAGAGCTTCATATATTACTGACCTCAAATTTGACCTTAATTCTGGCACCACAGATTTTGGCTCTAATTTTCTCAGGTGATACTTCAAGCTTAATGGAAAATCCAAAAGAAACATCTCATATATAGACATGCAATAAACAACTAAGATAATAAGGTAAAGCATGAGGTAAAAAAAAATAGTACAGTGTGTATATCCTATTTCTAGTTTCATGGTACAAGGCAGTATGTGTGAAGCAGGCTTACTGTGTAAAGGGGGTACCAGGTACAGCATTCTATATATATATATTTATTGTTAAGGCAAATTTTACAGATTTTAAGTATTATTTCAATTGTTCATTTTATTATTATTTTATGTGTAATCGGAATAGTGCATTAGGAGACCTACATGATAGTGATTTGGTTCACTTTTAGGAATCCTGTCTCGGCCTGTTTCAGATTGTTTATGCTTTTATTTTGTTGTATTGTAACCGGTTGTTGTTTTTTTATGTATTTTATTGAGACAAAATAAATGAAAATAAATGAAAATGAAATGAATGCAGAGTGTATCAGTATTATAACATAAAATGTATGTAATATATAAAACAGATACGATTATTTACACAATACAATATAAAGTTTATACCATGCAGTAGTTCATATATTTTTTATTTTATTTTATTTTATTTATTTGTTCTTTATACTGGGTTTCCTCTTCAGTAACAAATTACTGTTCTCCCAGAGAGCCCAGTACACATACAACAGTCCACGACACACAAGACAAACATACACACATGATGTTTTACACAAACTAAATCTCAATATGAGGTTTAGGGGGTGGAGTTGTTTTGGTCGTCAGAAAAAGTCCTGCAACTGACAGGAATTGAACCCATGACCCTGGGATTGGAAGGCAGCATCTTAACCAAGCTAAACTCCACTCGAAATGAATCCAAACTCCACTGAATATATAATTCAGTATTTACCTTGAGAAGCTTGATCCTCTCTAAGTCCAGCTTGATGAGTATAAAACATCTATCTGGAAGAACCACTTCTTCTAAGTACTCAGTTACCTAAAGAATGTAAAAAAAATTAAAAGTGATGAAAATAGATTTAGAATAAACAAAAGTTAAAACATCTTTCTCATTATCTCACAGCCATTTTCTTTATAACACTGTGGTATAAAAACTGAAAATTCTTGTTGGAAATCAAATTGCATGCCTGTGCGTTTGTGACCATATTTGTAAAACAAGAAACATTATATTTTCTCAGTACATCTTATCAATAAGCTGACAAATTACCTCTCCTAACTTAGTCTTTTCAATCCGACCTTTGACTCTACGTGCAAACTCAGGATCTGTTTTGTCTTCCAGGTGGGCCGTTATGATAGGTGTGCTGATGTTTTTGGATGCGTTTATAATCTCCTTGATGCGTGGAACACCTAGAGTAATATGTATGAACTTGTTAAAGATAAATAATCACAATACAATGAATGTTTTAAATGAAATACTTAGACATCAAGTGCTCACAGAGCTGGGCTGCAGTTCCTTAGAATCTTTGGCAGTAGAGTACAATATCACAGTCAAAAAATAGGGAGGGGCAACACATGTCTTCACTTATTTTTACTACCCCCTAAAAATTAATTACATAGATCAGGGCAGATCCAGTATTTTTCTAATGGCGGTCAAAGTGTCCCCCGTGACACCTATTGGAACTGTGCCTGTAAATACCATTTACAATACGAACCTTAATCTGACCCCAAGAAGAATTCTTAGTCTTGCAATATCTGAACCAATACCAATATATATTATATATGCATATTATTCCTATCAACTAACAAATGCATAAGCCACACAAATCAACAGTGATGTTAGTAGTCAAACCTAGACACACCAAATATTACCATTGTTTCTTTACCAACCATCAACTGACTGATATACAGTACAGCGCCCTGGATGGAAGGTTTTATTAATTTTAAGGGGTGTTATAGTAAATCAACAGTGGCAAAAGTTGTATTATCCAACATAGGTATTGACAAAATAGACAACAGCATTCATACACCCAATAGCCAAATTATTCTTGCACAGAATAAAAGGATATTCATAGATGCTACACCAGCAAAATGGAAAGTCTTGAGCGTCATCTGAGTTCCTGGTTCTCCAATACTCTGAGCTGCCACTGCTCCCACGGCTGTTCCAGGTTCCATCTTGGCTCTTAGGTGCTTCACCCGACACATATCAAAGAACTCTTTCAGCTGTGTTGTGGTCACTCTTTCAAGCTGATACAAAACTTTACAAAAGAAATCATACAATCAATCCAAATATTATTAATGCTCTCATTTAACCATAAAAAGTAGATTTGGTAATTATATATTTCACTGTTAACCCAGGACTGAATTAACTGGATAATTAGAACAGAGTGCAAATATGCGGTCACAAATGACAACAACTATAAGTTTGTATTGTAAAATATGTATTTACATGTATCTTTTAAAAATCCTCAGAGAAGGTGAAACCCAAGCACTTTCAGATATTGCTTCCATTAAGCCTCTTGAAAAAGACACCTTTTAGATGATAAAAGACAAGGATATACACATAATGCTGTACATAAGTATTGCTATAAGGATAGCAAGTTAAAAAATCCTAATGCCTTGACAGTATAGAAACCAAGTGACGAAAAGACTGGAAAGCAAACATCTTACCCACCAAACTGTAGTCCATTGCTTACAGTGATTTTGTCAAGACAAAATGAACAGTACAACAGGAACAGAGAAACAACTTTTTATATTTTGCAATGAAAAAATCATAGCAAACTAATGAAAATGAGACCTCACAAGTTGAGTGGTTATGAGAGTAAATGAAGCACTCAATATGACAAAAAGTTTGATAATATTAATTTCAAGTACACTGGCACTGATGATTATCTCTCAAACTAATGTCAGAAAACATGCAGCGCAGGCTTATAGAGCCGATGGCCATTATCAAGTTTCAATAGATTCTGATGACCATCTATCAGATAAACTAATGTCAGAAGACATGCAGCCCAGGCCTACAAATCTGATGCCTATATCAAGTTTCAATGGATGCTGAGCTGGGCTTAGGATATCAGGATTCTGACAGGTTAATATATAGAGGCTTATATAGCTCTTCACAGCCAATTCTACCCAAGTTATCAGTTTCGGTGACAAATAAAATGCTGATACACTTCTGTACTGGTGACAGCACCAGTCATCAATCATCTGATCAGAATCTCCTACTCAGGTATGGTGACGGCATCATAAATGGTGATGTCACCGAAACTGATACTTATCAGATCTATTAGAATCGGGTGCTCTTTACACATCCCAGCAATTATTAATGAAATATCTAATGACACTTACTGTTTTTTTCTGTCTGTTCTTCACTCAATCCATAAAGTTCCCTACAACCCTTTAGTTTCTTACACATCTCATCTACAAATAGTCTACAAGAAATACAAAATTTCATACTAAAATGCTAGATTGTTTGTATTGAGTATAGCACCATAAATGTTATCATTACAAATGATTTAAGATTCAAAAATATTTTTATAAATACCGCGCATAATAATTTAATTGCATATAATTTACTAATTGATATGAAAAGTCAATAAGAAATTAAAAATTTCATGTTAAGGTGATACCTTGGTTCTAATAATTATAGCACCATAAGTGAGTATAGATTATCATTCAAGGTTCTGGACTCCAAATTATAACTTCGTAAAATGAAACACTGTTAGCAATATATTGACTAACTATAGTATTTATTCCCACAAGCTTTTGCCAGCAGTCTATGCTGGCATGATGCCAGCATAGACTGCCGGATAAAGCTTGTAAAAATAAATACTATAGTTAGTCAATAAAGTGCTAGCAGTTTACATAGTTATACCTGAACAATACGGCTCCACTTACTATTAAATTATAACTTCATTGTCCAATTAAGTCATTATACATATTACCACAGTTTTAAACACCACACACAATACTCAGAATTATGAAATCTGCTAGGAATATTATTGTTTCTGATGTTGATAATATTGAGGACGTATACGCAAAAAATGTACTTAAGAAACATGACCCTATAATTAAAAACATGTCCCATCCTATGTTCATACAATGCACGTTCCATAGATCCGGTCGTATACAGTACTGTATGTCCAAGAAAGTGCAATACAAACAGATTGGCATGATTGTTTATTTTCACAACTCAATTCACATGTACAATGCTGAATTTAATAGAAAGACTAACAAACTCTTGTAAATAACTGTATTATGTATATATTCTGTTTTGTTCTGTCCTTCAATTATTTATTTTCGTCTAACTTCTATACTAATTTTGCATCTGGAAGACACATTTTACTTTATTCATTTACAAAGTGACATTAAAAGAATCTTGTATCTTGTATCCTGTATACACTGAGCTGATAAATTTCATTTCATATATGTCTCTTATACACATCTAGATGTGTATAAGAGACAGCGGCATACTCTTTGCTTTCCAGAATTTCTGTGGATGTCTCTTTTATTAGTGGAGAGGTCAAAGTCTTCTCAGCTTTACACGGATACTTGGCCTGGAATTAATACATAAAAATTGATTTTGGCCGGAAACCTGAGAGTAGCGATGTACTGACATTGACTAAGAATTGAAATTCCAGTTGCCTTATACAAACGACTTAGACCAAGAGTGCATCATCTTAAAATTGGTGGGCAACCTCAGAATTTCAAGGTAATATGAGGTGTAGCATCCCAAACCAGCATTCTGTCGCTGATTGTTAAACTGAGGAATGTGGCAGTATTGCATACATTAGTATGGAGAATCTCTAATACTTTTATTCATAACTTTGGCAATAGAAAGTCGATTCCAGCAAAGGACCCATCATTTTAAAGCTTATAATGTGGAAACTAAAAATAAATTAAAAAGTATACTTTATTATGGTCAGTATTGCTGGATTTGGGATGGCGAGTCTCATTATAATGGTAAGCATTGGCTATTATTTAATAAACTATTTTTTCTTTATTTCTATATTTATCTACCTGATGAATCTCGTTATCATCATCACCATGTCATCATTATGTCATCATCATCATTATAACATCATTTCTGAGCAATCAAATTCAAGAACATTCCTATTTAATTTAAAGTGCCAACTTGGCGTTAGAAATGTTTGAATTAGTGTCAGTGTAGTATTTTAAAATATTTACTCCAGAAACATAATAATGGATACTTCAAATTCATAAATATTCATGATCAACTCTGACCTTGATGTGTGACAGGACTCTTTCTAGATCAACAGGTTTGTCTTTGCCTTCCATAACGGCAGGATCAAGGTTATCGCCTCCATATATGAACTGGATGATGTCACCCATCGAGTTACGTACAGTCAAGTCATAGTGAGCGCAGAGGTCTTCAAGAGACTGCAATCAGAACAAAAGAAAGCACGGTTAAAAACCTAACAAAAAATAACTGTTAAAAAACAAACCAAAACAGATTTTATTTTATGTTTTTTCTTTAGGCACATGGCCAAGGAATATCAATTGGCAACTTAATCACTGTCCTATCGCATAGTTGGCAATCCCTTCACATGACAAACATAAACACAAGATGCTTTACACAGACCAAGTCTCATATGAGGCTTAGGGAGTGGAGTAGATTTGGTTGTGAGAAAAAATCCTGTTACTATGACAGGAATTGATCCGAGGACCCTAGAATAGGAAAGCAAGCATTTTCAAACTATTCAACTCCAGTTCATTGGGTTTTTAAAATCTTGAATTAAATGCTATTGTCAGATATTGTTAACCAGATTGAAGAGCAACAAATATAGATTATGATTGTTCACATTATCTAACCTTGACTAGTCGTCGCTGCATGTAGCCTGTCTCTGCAGTTTTAACAGCTGTGTCAACCAATCCTGAGAAAAGCACCAACAATTATTTGTTAATTATTCAACAATCATCACAAATATAATCTAAATCATGTTTTAAGTAGAAATTAATAATATTGTCACAACTACATCAGAGTGGTTTCTTTTTTAGTATTATAGTAGGAAAAAAAACCCAATAATATTAGGCTCAAACTTGGAGAAGATGGCTTACCTTCTCTGCCTGCCATAGTGTGGAAGAAAAACTCAGTGGGAGTCAGCCCTGAATAGAAGCTATTCTTCACAAATCCTTTGGCTGCTGGAATCTTGGCTAAAAAGTAAAGTTTAAAAGTTGTTTGAAGATATCATAAAAACAATCATATTAAACATAGTTTTATTATTTGCTATTTGTTCTTGAGTATTTATATAGTGCCTTCCCTTTTAATAAATGCTTTTTATCTTAGGTCAGGGTACACATGCTTTAAGTGCTACTGCTACATTAATAACAGGCCACCATAACAGGCAACAATTTATACTCCGGGGTGGGGAAAGCAATGCAGATTAAGTGCCTTGATCAAGGGCACAAGCGAAGTGCACGGCAAAAGATTGAAACCGAAACTTTAAATTTGTGATATCAAACCGTTCTGCTGTGCTAAAACATACCACTCCCACAAACATATACATGTTTTATTTTAGTTAAAAGTTAAAATGTGCTTACAATGTCTTCGAAAGTGAGGTAGTGCACGATCCTCAAAGCCATTTGGAATGCGTTTACCACTGATAGCTTGCTGGCCAACACACGCTATCATCTGAGAAATGTTGATGAATGATCCTAGGATGATACAATAAATATTTAAAAACAGGTAATAAAAACAATAGTAATTCTGCTTTATATATAACATATTCTTGATTTTTTTAAATATCCTTTAATTAGGTCTAATCGCTACTTGCCATGCTTGTTGTTTTTATTTGAGTCAATTATTCAAATTTCACTTTAATTGACATATTAATCATTAATATTCAAAAAACTACAATTTTCACAGTTTTATTACTTGAACCTTAACTTCTTGTTACAAAATATTTTAAGAGTTCAACAAGTTATGATTAAAATTATTACAGCTTCTAAATATACAGTACAGTGCTGTCACATTCTAATGATATATAATCAGAAGAACAATTATGACAATACACTGTCTCTGAGATGGCATGTCCCATATTTGACAAAGGCAGTCACATTTTATTTAGGAAACCACACAAGTCGTACCTTTTGATCCACAAAGTGCCATGTTGAGGGGGCTGTTGCTCTTGTGTAGTTCCTTCAAACATGCTTTACCTGCATGGTCACGAATCACAGACAATTCCTTCAAGATGATGGCCTAACAGAAAATACAATTAGGAAACATTTTTTTAAACCATGACCTTTTTTGCTTCAAATTTATTAACTTTATTTTGTCAATTGCAGAATTTATTAAACCTTCAAGGAAGTGATGTTATATTATTTGTGATAAAAATTGTTCAAATTGTAAAATTTGAGCCCAAGAAAAGGGGAACAGAAAGGTAAGCTTCTTATTTATTTTTATTTCATTTGCATCCAACATCAAGTAACTTGCCAATTACAGGATAAACAATGTTATATACACTAACTCTCTCTATGAGAATAAAGGAGTTTTAGAAATGAGATTTGAACCCAGCACCCTGGGCTTAGAAGTCAAGCACCTTAACCACTATGCTATACAACTCCACTCCAAAGTGGTACTGTATTCAACAAGCTACAACTTTTTAAATATTTGTTTTGAATATTAAATATTTGTTTTTGAAAATCATCAAGGGTAGCCTAATATTGTTAGTTACCTCAAGGGTTTGTTCAGGTGTGCAGCCTGGTTGGCTCTGCAGCTTACCAGCCTCAAGCTCACGAATGTATTCATCGCATTTAGAATATCTGAAATAAGAAGTCGAAACTTGCAATGTTTTTAAATACTGACACGTTTGGGTAAACAAGGTATACACAATGAACACACTAAGTGAGTTAAACGAGTGTTAATAGTATTAGCTTATGAATATTCAAGTTAATACAATCTAAGTCGCACAGACACATATAGTTCTAAACCTACCCATCATCCAGCAGGTTTTTCTTAGCTCTGAGAAGGCCTTCGCCAGGAGTGACATCACCAATGCCGATAGAGAAACCACGATTAGCTGGAACAAACAACACAATGCATTAACTAAGAAGAATTATGTGGGTTACGTACAGGGGTCCCAAGTCCCCCGCTCAACAGTCTACCAAACCCTTGCGAGGAGGTCAAAATCTCCCGGTAACTAACTACTGCACCTGTGCTTTCTGTTCACTCTTGTATGTATTTGTTGTCACCATTTTTTGAATGCCATACTTCCCTACTTTTGACCACAAAATGGAATGAACTACAATATAAAACAATACAGGTCTCCCTCTAATTAAAGACCACTTTTGGGACCGCCAGGGGTTTATGTGGTCTTAAACAGCTTTGGTGTCTAATTAGAATATTAAAGATAAAGACATTTGTTAATTTGAGACCTCAGAAAAGAGGCCCTTAATTGGAGGTGGTCTTTAATTGGAGAGAGACCTGTTTTACAATACAATAGACAACAAAATTTAAAGCTTACATAAGAATGCTGGGCAGAGCCTTGCAAGGCGACTCATCGCATCTGCGGCTGCCTGCTCACCATAATCACGCAGTAGGATGTAAAATACATTATTCTTCGAGCCCGAGCCTAGAGTTAGTTTATCCATAGCACCACACAGAAGTTCACTGTTGTAAATAACCACAACTGAAAAGAAAAATGTATTGTTAGAAACATTTAAGCCTGGTTCTCACTAGAGCCCTTGTATCCGGATCGTGAGCTAAGCGCTAGCGCTAACCGTTAGCACCTGTGTGAGAATGCCCGATCAGTTACCACTAACCATTAGCAGTATCCAGATACGGTTAGCAAGCGCTATCGGTAGCAAGTGAGCGCGTTTCTATCATCAACCAATCACATGTACGCGTATACAATTTCCAGTTTCTTATTGGCCAGTGATTCAATCATCATATTCTTGGTATCTGGATTGGGATTTTATTGTATTTGATCAAACAAATGGTGCATTTTTCCAACATATAGATTTGTATTTTTATGTTCATGGTTTCAGTACATCAACAACAAATTTAATGTTGTCTTGATAATAACAATAAACTTTATCTTATTATATTTTATATTTCTGATCAAACAAATGGTGTCTTTCCATGTAATATTTTCCTTCCTTCATACAAAATTTCAATGATAAAAAAAACTGTTGCATGCCCATATTTAGTCATGATGTGCCTATATATGGTCATGGTGTGATGTCATCATGACCATATTTGTCAAATAGAATTTGATAGTCTTGACAGGCCTTTAGGTTTTAGGATGAGATATTTTTAGGATGGCACGCCAGAGGACAGAATATTAATTGTACATTGACTTACACGAATCGTTGTGACACATATCTCCTTTGTTGCTGTAGTTCTTGCCCTTGGCACGCAGGTTCACTTTCAGCGAGCACTTCCTGCTTGGACGGAGGATTAAGCTGAAGATCTGCTTGCCTGTCCACAACCTGACAGGCTGAGAAAAAAATTTTCAAAAATATAATTATTTTTGAGTTCCAAAAACACAGGCATATATTACTTTATACAGTATTCATAAAACAGAGCATGAAAGTATAATTATATAAGTATTATTATTATTATTATTTATTCAATGTAAATTGCAAAAATTTAATAACTTATTATTTTGAAGTTAACCTCCACCTCAACCCCAACCCTCTAGGTACTGAGTGTGTGTTCGTTTGGTGTGTATGTCATTGACCAGGCTGTAATGTAAAGTGCATAGCATAAAGGGCTAGGCATTATTGGCTATATACAACCAACTCTTACTCTGATTCAAATGGTCTTTACCTTGATGATAGCAGGGGGAGGCAGTTCAATTCTTAGATCTTTATCCGCTTGAGACAAAATAGACGCTGCTAGTTGACAAGCTTTCGTACGGTCGAAAAACGTGTCCTTCTGAGTGAGAAGGTAAGCACCTGAAATAAACATAACTTTGAACGTTAAATTAATGAGTGGTGCTAAAGTTTGTTGCAAAATACAGTAGTCTGATTTTGGTTTTATAAATTCTCATGAATATTTTTATTTTGGTTTATACTTTATAGTACAGTAATCTTGTTGTGGCACATGAAAATAAATAAAAATCTCTAATGTGTGCGGCCAACAAACTATCTCCGGCTAGAAAACACATTGTTTTTTACGGCCTGATACCAATTTTCAGTAAGAGTAATATTAAAACTGAGAATAAAGTGGTAGAAATGCAGTGCATGTATGTTTTCGCAAAACACATTTGCCCTCTGACCCATTTTTATGGTCACCCCAGTTTCATAGAATATTAAAAATGATTCAAAAGTGTATAAATAGATGTTTGCACTTACCTGTAATGAAGTCCTGTATTGCAGCAATCAGAGGCTCTCCATTCCTTGGTGTTACTAGGTTGCTTTTCACCTGTTCACCAAAAAAAAAAAAAAAAAGTTAAAGTTTTACAAAGGTTTCACACCTTATGACTTTACAAGCTAACAAACTTTAAAATGCTTACTACACTTATTCACAAAAACAACTAACTATATTGCTTTCAGGGACGGATACAGGATTTGATAGAGGGGAATTCAAAATGTTTCCAAAAAACCCCAAAGAAGAACGCACTTTCGTATAAAAAATTATTACGATGACCAAAAACAGTGTTTTTAATTTTATTTAGTTTAAGGCTAGTTGGTCTAAGCCTAGTTTTATCCGATCTGCTAACCTATGCCTAGTTAGGTTAGCATGCATTCTCTAAGCCAGGACCAAGTAGTGTTTTGTTACGTTTCTTTACAGAGTGGAGTTCGTCCGAACCTCCTGAACCCCGCTGGAATCGCCAACGGCTTTAAATTTAATCAAATCATAAAAGTATCTATACCTTAATCACTAAGAGATTCTTTACAGTTTCAGTAATACAACCTAAGTGTTGTTATCCCATCTACAGTAAGTAGGTATCCTTTAATTAATTCACTAAAGTATCCTTAGTAATTTTTACTATTTATTGATATCTGATGCACTTACACAAATTAAATAAAAATTAAATAAAAATTAAAACCAGAATGAATGAGCATCCACCTATAAATCACTGTGGATGCTTTGGAAAACAGACCTTTCACCCCCTATTTACCACGATATTCTTAACTCAATTTTTATGAATCATCCTTACCCCCATAAGTGTCAAGGCTTCAGCTTTTGCTTCTTCAGTTTGAGGCAAATGTAGGTTCATTTCATCGCCATCAAAATCAGCGTTGTACGGAGTACACACACACTCGTTGAAGCGGAAGGTCCTGTGCGGCATTACACGTGCCTGTGAACCCAAATGTGACTTGCAATAAATGATTTAATATAAATGTAGTTTTATGATATAAAATTATCTTTGTAGATCGCATAATTTTTGTATGAATAACTAAAAAACAACAATAGTTCCCATAGAGATTCAAAACTAGGGCCCTCCAGTAACCATTCGGATGTTCTACCAATGGTCCATTCTAGACTGTCAATCAAACTTTAAAAATGGCCAGTCATAACGCAGTCAGGAAAACACATTTGTCCCACACACAGCAGTTGTAATGTGGGACCTAATAGCGACAATATCCAATCAGTGGGGACTTAGCCAAAATGTACTTGAATCCTGACCTTTGGATTGGAAGGTAGGCCATGTTCAACGACCAATCTACAGCTGGACATTACAGCAAGTCGAATGACTACTAGACAACTTACATAATGGGCCATGATACTCAATTTGTGCAAGGACGGCTGACGGTTGAACAAGACAATATCTCCATTCATTAGATGCCGTTCCACAATATCACCATACTGGCAATAAAAGAGAGGTTGAACATAAAACAGAATATTCTTATGAGGAAAAAATCATTAAAAAACATAAAAAATCTTATCCATTAGGTTAAACATAACATCCATGTTTATATAAATGGACAAAAAAACAAAAAAAAAACACAACATAGAGATTATGTGAATATAAATAGCAAAAATAAGAATATCATTTTAATCACATGATATGTGGGGGGAAAAAATGGAGTATTTAAAATATGAATATTTATCATGAGGACATCCTACCTTCAATTCTTGAGCAATTTTCTGTTTGTTGCCATATTTAAGAAACCTTAAGATGAAAAGAAAATATATCTACCAGGATTTTTTATGCCAATAAAAGAATATTGAATTCTTTATATCCTTATTTATACTTTTGTTACTGGCACTTACTCCTCTGTTTTGGAACTTTTTCATAGTCCTCACTTCCCAATCCAAATAAAATTCATCTCTTTATGTTCACTATTTAAGAATCAACTTCATACAAAATTCCACCATCACTTCAATTTCTACCTCAAATTCATCCCTTTTTATCTTCACTTTTTCATCAGTCCTTCACCTAATTTTCAATTCCTCTTCTGCATCAGGTATTTCTTTATTCAATCTTCGATTTCGTATTTGCATTAAATTTATAGCTTAATACATTTTCACTCCGTTTGCTGCATCCCAATCATCCATTACTGTAGTTATCCTTTTTTTCATCTGCTCTTTTCTGTTCGTCTCACTTACTTTTTCACGTTTGTAAATCTTTGTTGGATAAAGTTTGCTCCTGGATGTACATCAACTCCATTTGTCACAAGTTTCTGCATCAGCTTCTTATTGTAATTTGTTACCTAAAAAAATAAATAATTCCTTTAATTTGATACAGGCATAAATGTGAGGTGTTACAACAATCTGAGTCACGACGTATGCCCAGTCAATTTGATATATTCAATAAAATATGTATTAAAGGGATGTTTTAATGAAAATGGGTTTAGAGAATTTCTGATAAAATTTAGTACTAATATTTCACGATAGCAAACATTCTGAGTTGATCATCATATTATCAGTATTATTACTATCAATTCTATTCAATATCATTTTACTACAGAACTATAAGGGTCAAAATTTTTCTCTAACATCACATTTTGAATGGTTTTTACCAACCTTTTCTGGATAGGTTAGAATCTTTGCCACATGAACAGGTACAGCTACCTATATTAGAAATAAAACACAAAAGACACAGAAATAAATATAATAATAATAAAAAAACCAAAAATCTTTTCTCCAAAGTCTCAAAATAAGTTGTAAGAAGGGTACAATTAAGTCCTTAGTTGGTGTATTTATACACTTCCTTAAAAATTATTGTTGTGGTGAGAAAGCATATTAACTTTGTAATGAAGTTTTATAATACCTCATCAATGCGTAGATTAGGATCTGGTGAGATAACAGTTCGGCTGGAAAAATCTACCCTCTTGCCCGATAGATTTCCACGGAAACGCCCTTGCTTGCCCTTTAACCTCTGACAAAATCCTCTTGTGGGTTTCTTGGGCTAAAAGATATAGTGTTTTTCTAAATTAAAATTTGTTATGTAAATTGTGTGTTAATACACTATGCTACAGTAGCAATGTTTATAGGGACAAGAATAACAAATAAAACTTTCTCCTTACCTGCATGTTCAGTGGAATTCCTGTCGTCTCACTGCTGATGTAGAGGGCGCACTGCAGTTGCAGGAAATCCCAATCTTCCTATATAAACATACAAAAGATATGGTACATGGTTGAAGTAAAAGTGATGTAAATATAAATAAAATTTTGGAGTTGAGTGGCCAAGTTGCAACTAATTACAGCCTTAACATCAGCGCTGGTTTGAGCCAGTCCTCCTCCAGAATTCTTCTTGCATTTGGACTTAAAATTGAGGTCCAGTGTACGTATCTGGCTCATGAGTGCTTTAAAGAACCCATTGCATCTTTCGGAAGAGGAGAGGGTTACCCTGATGCCATGCTTAATTTCAGCCACTGCTTTTATGGAATGATGCGAACATGTAGCTACTATAAGCGCCCTTTTACGGTAGCTAGGTAACCATGGACCATGCCCAATGCAATTCAGCACAATAACGCTGCGAGTTATGAGTTATTCTCCTACCTTTAGCTTTACAATCATATCTGAAGAAAACCAAAAACAAATTTAAAGGACAAACAATTATAAGTTTCAAAAACCTTTATATTATTATTATTATTAATATTTTCAAAATATTATCAAAATTAAATAAGACATAAAATTAGATTAAATAAGACAAAAAAATGTAATAAGACAAGATGAACTTACCATAATCATTGCCATCTTGGCTCCAGCTTGCCTATGTTTTTTGATCACATCATTCAGAAATATAATCTCAGTTAATTTTACAGTTATGTCATCTTCATTTCTAGAATCAATAAAATCAATTAAAAAAATAATGTTTACACTCAAAACTCTGATACATATTTGAAGTTAAAAGCTTTAGTTTGTACAGCAATCTTTCATATGCAGTATCTTTGTTTCATCCAAATGAATAAACAGTAATATCAGTATGTGTATGCTGTATACATAGCACCGATACCCTTTTCATATTTAAGTAATGAGAAAAAAATCTATGTGGGATATGAACCCAGAATTTTAGCCAATTATTATGTCTGGAGCACTGTACAGGTCGTCCGCTGATTAAAGACCACTTTTAAGACTGAGTTTTTAATAGTCTTCAGCAGGTTTGGTCTTTAATTAGAGAAATTATCTTTTATAAAAATTTAAAAATACTACATTCATTGGGGGCAGCAATAAGATGGCCTTTAATTGGAGGGGTCTTTTAATGAGAAGGAGAACTCTATTGAAAAAAGCCATTTTTACAGTACAGATTTAGGTGCCTATTCATAAAATTTGCTCGCCTCAGCCCAACCATTGGGTGGAGAAGCTTTCTTGTGGACCTTGAGTCCCTCTCATTAAGGAATCTCCAGCACTGACACTGGGATCGAAAATACTATTTCTATAGGAAAGGTATACAAAGAAAAACCTGACATAGCAGCTCATATACATTAACATAGTGTATTAAATCAAAAATTACTTACGTTCCAGATTTTAGATCTGTTATTACTGATGGTCGAATACAGAGAGGGGGTACCAGCAGTCTTGTGAGTATTAAATCCTGAGGTCGAGAATTCTCGCTGTTCATAACCAGAAGTGGCATATCCTGAAACAAGTATTACAATTCAAGTAAAAATAGATGATAGGAGCATGAGTAGGAGGAGCAGAAACAAAGAAACAAGAATACTCTTATCAGACAAAGTGCTATCGGCCATTGGGCATCTGTCAACACACTGTACTTGGCAAGCATGTCAAATGATATGAACCTCACATTGCGTTACATACAAACATGCACTTTCCAACATTAGACAAGAATTTTACTTCCAAAGCACAGGGTATATCTGGGCAAGCGCAGTATTAAAAAAAGCAGTGCATTATCTTCATTCTTGATTATATGTTTATAAACATATAATCAAGAAGATAGTGTAAAAATTGTAAGTCTTGTAAGTATTATAATAATGAAGAAGAGTGTGGCTTGGTGTTAGGGTGCTTCCCTTCCAATACTAAGGACCTGGGTACAAATCCTGCAGAAATGAACATAAACAACTCCAATCCCAAGCAAGTCACATAATGAGACTTCATTTACTAGCATATCATGAGTCTTCAAACCATTGACGTTTACGCTGTTGAAAGTAGAATTAAAATAAATTAAATGAAATATACGATACCTCGTCTGTGATGCGCTTGAACAGGTTTAATACAGTCAATGGGTTCAAACTTTCCTGAAAGGTAAATGGTACACCATATAATAAAAAGTGAATTAAAATTGATAGATTAAATATGGTTAAAATAATAATGAAAATTATGACTATTAAGAAAATGATGATGTTGTAATTGATGAATGATGGCATTAACGATGATGGTGGTGGGGGTATGATGATTATGATTGTTTACATACCGTCGATGAAGCTCAAAATAGCAAATTACGATAAAAAAACCGGGGGAATATTATACGCACGACATACAAATTTTAAACTATTAAATTATGTTTTATGTGCGGATCATCCATAACACACAAATTTTTTACTGCAATGAAGCTACTAAATGTTATAATGTGAATGAACGCAATTTTAAATACAGTGAAGTATGATATGAACATTTAAAAACTCATAACATGGTATTATTAAGATTAGCCTTGCATTTGGCTCTGTTTTTCGCCAGGTATGCAGTATCAGGACCAAAAAAAGCAAAAAAAATTGGGAATTCCGACCATGAACAGAAAGTTGTCTTAAGCCAGACACTCACTGCATCGCACGAGGGTTGCACGACGAATCCACATTTGCTTCCGGCGAGCGGTAGACGACGCAACGCCGTCTGCTAATTGTCAGTAGCATTAAAAAGACGATCTGATGGGTCCGCGAATTCGCGTGCGTTCTTCGTCGCGTTGCCGTCGCACACAGTGAGTAATTGGCTTTATATGCCCGACATAAAAAAATCTACCAAAAATATCTTTTTAAAAATAAACTTTTATGCGCGAGTATATACGGTAACATTAAGGAGGTGATGGTAATGAGGATTTATAATGATAATAGTAATAATGATGTTGATGGTGAAAGTATATACTGCATATGATGATAAATGTATTGACAATTATGAAAATAACCCTGATAATAATAATAATGGTAATGATGATCATTCTGTATCCCTACACAACATCATTATAATCTATAATCATAATAATTTGACACAAATGAAATTTTTGTGATAAAGTGATTTTAAGAAAGATAATAGTGTGTCTACCTGAGCTTTATTGAGTAGGCCATCAATCTCTTTGTTGTTTTCTGATGCAATGCTAAATTCTGCATGGAACTGCTCTACAGCAGGGTCGAGCTTCTTCTTAGTAATTTTAAACTTTTCATGAACGATTTTCAGCATTGCACACTTTTTAACAGGACCTGTAATTTACAATGTATAATTTATTTGATTAACAAAAAATAATTATTGTATTATGACAATTTAATCACAAATAGCTGATGAAAGCATTTTTATGCTATTAACTATAACAGATTTGTGGCAATCGGCGACAAACTTTAGACAAAATTTAGTCCACTAGCTATTGGCTAGTGGACTAGTAGCTTTTACAATTGGCAGTAAACACATAACTTCCACTCTGTTAAAAAATCTTTTGCCTATAAGTATTCACCATAGGATAAGAAAAATGTAAAAGGTGGATTTTTACAGGAAAGTTAGTTATGTCACATGAGAAATTAGCAAAAAAATCACGGTACTAAAGCATTGTCTCCATAAAACTTCAATACCCTATTGCTAAGTAATAAAGAAGTTGCAGTTAAACACTGTAGTGACAGGGTAGTGTTGACATTATTATATGTACAGATGCTATCTCTTTATTGACAACTTGCCATATGCATGATATCAATCGGACTAGCTACAGATGTACTACCACCATCATAGGGGAAAATTATAAAAATTACAATTTAGCATTGCTTATGCAATGATTTTTTTAGGAGATGAGAGGATCTAGGAGGAAGCAATAAATTTCACAAGGAGCAGCAGTGTAACAGGGGCAAATCCAAAATTTTCCAAGCGGGAACAAAAGTCTCAGAATAGGAAAGTGAGTAGCACATAATTGCACTGAAAATGTTAAAATTTAGTGGCAAAACAGGGGGCACGTATGTGTCTCCCATGCAACTACTTGATCTGCCCCTGTGTAAATAAGTTTACTGACCTCAGCCCCAAAAATGGTGGGGCTGAAATAGTACAGACCCTCCATCTGCGAAAGACCCTCTGGGGCACATCTGTTTCAAATTCCTGGATCAACCACTCATATATTATCATTTATTTCGTCATTAAAGAATACAATGACAAACATGATTAGAAACAAGCACATCTTAAATCCCACAATGGAATTAGCGACTGGATCCCAAAAAAGGGCCCCTTGTCTCTGGAAGCCACAGGGCCCCCACCACGGACATTACGCCACTGTCAAGGAGTACTGTCAATCTAAAATTCTTTCGCAGTGGCTAATTATAGTTAATCGTAAAAGTGTAATTATTAAATATTAAGAGACCTTAATATCAAAATTTAAAAAAACTTAGCATACCATTCGGCATTTCACAGTGCGGGCAGATCCGTGTTTTGCGACTTTTTTCATTGATTTTCTTCTTGAGACCACGCTTTTGAAGGTACGTTAATCCAGGGCGCTGAAGAGTTTCCAAGAAATTTTTTCTGTCATGTGGTTGCAACAGAACTCGACTACAATTCTATGGTGATGAACATAAAAACAATTATGCTTTGCTATCAGTTGATTCAGGTGTAATGGGGAGGGACAACTTGATTTCCAGCTCCCCAACAAGTGATCATTTGTAAAAGCCTTTATGAAGAAAGCCTACCTAAAATGGCCTAGATTGGCATGAGACCAGCTAACTTTGGTTTTGAATATAGGAAGATTGAAACGTATTAATAGAGTATACAATGTACGCAGTGTTCCTTTGAAAATTTATATTAAGTATATGTAAGTAGTATTAATAAATTAGGTGAAAATTTCCCACACGAATAAAATCTTTTGACTTTTTTCTTCGAACAAGGTATCCATAAAATAAATATAAATGTAAATATGTATTTAGTAATAATATAAATTAAATTAAGCGAAAATATAGAAGAAGCATAGGAAGAAAGAATAGCAGATTCTGTCAAAACAATTCATGATGTAGACACCATTCAAAAAAAAAAACAGAAAATTTACAGGCTTGAAGAAAAAAAAAACAAGGTATAACAATATATATTAAAAGGTTTAAATTTTTGCATAATGCAATGGAAATGCCGCTCCGAGATGTTGACCAATCAAATCTCTCTATTTAGTTTTTGAGATTTCGCTTGACCATACCCAGCTGTCAATCTCATGCTGTTGTCGTCACCATCATCATCATCATCATTTATTGTCATCACGAACTTCATAATTTTTATATTGATTATTATTATTCATTATCAGTGTCATCAAATTCATTGTCATCGTCATTACCATCAACATTTCTACAATAATACTTCACCAAATTCATAGGTACCTTGCAAATGACCTGAAGAATCGTTATTATAGAGCGGAAGAATCCGATATGGAAGACGGGCAGTTCTAGGTCTATATAACCATAGTGACCAATGCAATCCGAAAGAGGCTTCATACAAGTCAAACACTCATTACTTTTCTCACTGGTTCCCTAGAACGAAAAAAATAAAAAATAAAAATATGTTTATCAACACCAAAAATCAAATCAAATCTATTATGGATCATGAACAAGAAATCCTTAAACATAAAATTAGAAGTAAAAAGACTGTCAAGCAGTGAACCTACAGACATCACTGGCATATCCCTTCTTCAAGACAAAAACATAAACACAAAATGCTCTACATACATACATAAAGTAAGTCTCACTGAGGCTTTAGGGAGTGGAGTTGTTTTGGTCGTGAGAAAAATTCCTATTACCGTGACAGGAGTTGAACCCAGGATCCTGATATTGAAAAGGGAAACATCTTCAAATCAAATTAAATCTAATATACTATAAAATAGAGTAATTGAAACAAATATTATGTGGCAAAGACAAGCCAAACCATCCACTTGTCGCAAATCCTGTTTCAGAGATAATGGCCAAAACATGATGGAATGTCAAAATTTCGGAAATCTATTTTATTGCACTAAACTAACCCTG